TCAAATTTGGCACTATACTCAGCACGGATTAGGGCGGCATCCAATGTATTTGAGTTGGGCGTGGATTCGGACATTTCCAGGCATTGGAATGTAGCTGGCCGGAGCTGACAGCTGCTCATGTAGCTTTCCTCTTTTCGTTCATGCATCACAGACTGGGTTATTGCTGCCCTCACTGGAGGAGCGATCTAGACGACTCGGCGCCTCATCAGGATCGTGTTTCGCTTTCGCTATTCGGTTGCTAATTTTCCTCCCCAAAGGTTAGGGTCCTCTGGGCTTCGACAGGCATTGCCTTGTTACACACCGAGTTCCAATGGGTCAGACTTCTTCTTTCTGCTATTAGACAGGGTTATAGCTGACTCTCCAGAAATAGCGGTCTGAGCGGCCGAGACCTTTGAGACTTATACTGTACATCATGACTTGTCTCAAGTGGACCGGCCATCTTCGTGCGGTACCGGCTGTGCCTCCATTGAACTGTGCCTCTCAAAGCATTGCACACGAGTTGGGCTGAGCTCAATAGAAAAGAAGCAGATGCTTCCAGCTCCAGTTCGCCATGCCGGACGGGATGTCAGGCTGCCTGGATAACTAGCTCCTTCACCAGCAACAAAGTACAACTACCGTAAAGAAGTGGTGTAGACCGGGCGACCTGGATGCTAGTAGTGGACTAAAGTTTTACTTTGAAAGCTCTGCTCAAATTGTAACCCGAGATTGCTTGCTATTTTGAAGCAGACTTTCTTGGAAGGTATTGTCAGACAGCAAAGTGTACCTCCTCCTAAAGCACCAGTAAGCCAGTATACAATCTTGACACATGCAATGTGCCGTCACTCAGTGGTAACACAAGCTCTGTAATAGAGGTTGTTGACAGCCTTCCCTCTGGCATTTGCAAATGAGGTCATGTAGCCCTCGGCCATGCTAGTTGGACAGGTCGATCTCAGTCCCATGCCTTGCCCCTCCAAACGATCGCCATTCTTAGGAGACACTTTGTAGCAGCCTTGATGGGTAGCGTGTTAAACTGTACAAATTTGATGAGCTATAGGAATTCTGAGGGTTTCCCGAACGTACAAAATGCATTGGCTTGGGGAAACTAATATATGTCATGTCCCAGACTCTCAGGGTGTGTTAGCCCAAAGGTCGTGACGAGCCGATGATAAGATCCACCCGAAGTGTGGAGGGTTAGGATTATTGACGTCACCCCTTACTACCAGAGGGCAGGTGCCCGATTGAACCCTCAAAGAGATTACTCCTACAGATGGTCCCACGTGGGCACCGTCTGTTTTTGTTATTGACAGAAGGAAAGGAACATCATCCTGCAACATTCGCTCTTTTGTGGTTGAAGTCGCAGCAGACAAAAGTCTTGGACTATTTGCCTCTCATTGTGATCAACGCCTCAATACATTCCACACGAGGATCGGCGTCATGCCTGATTCGCTACAGATCGCGCTAAAGAACGATAGTGATACAGATGAGATTTATGCTTATATCACCGGTATAGCCATACAACAAGGTGGCCAGCGATGTCTTCTCAAGGCCAATGGCAAAGATTTGTATTATCCTCGGAATGCACCACACGTCGGCTCCCCTTTAGAGGAGGACTGTGCGATTCCGCTGCTCTCCAAAGGCCAAACGAAGACTGTCATAATACCCCAAATTGCCGGCGGTAGAATATGGTTTTCAGTTGGTGGGAAACTCACCTTTCTTTTAAATCCAAGCGATGCAGGGCCAGCTTTGGTGGAACCGAGTGTCTTGAATCCAAGCGACCCCAATGCAGATGTGGACTTTGCTTTTTGTGAATTTACTTTGAATGACGCTCAACTGTACGCCAACATATCATATGTGGATTTCGTGCCGCGCTTGCCAATTGCGATCACTCTGCAGGAAACAATTGGCCAATTGCAGCATGTCGCTGGTATGGGCCCAGATGGACTTGACAGGATGGCGGACGGGCTACGGGCTCAGAGCCAGCAAGACGGTATTCCTTGGGACAAACTTGTCGTGAACAGGAACGGTCGAAACCTGAGGATTCTTAATGCTACCCATGGCGGTGCGGTGGGAGCCAGCTTCGACGGCTATTACGAGCCTCATGTCGAAGAGGTATGGAATTACTATGCCAACAGTCGAATGAAGATCAACACTCAGGCTGGTCCGGGCATACTCGAGGGCTACATTAACAGGAAAGGCGAGCTTCAAGTAGGCGATGAGGTCTTCTCTAAACCAAACACAGCCGACATACTTGGATGTAACAGTGGCCCGTTTACTACTGGGCCTGAACCAATCCGTAATGCCATCATCCCTCGATTGGCTGCTGCATTCCACCGTACTGCCTTTCTGCGGTCAGAAGAGCATCCATCACACCCTTCGACATTTTACAAGCAGGATCCCACGAATCGCTATGCTCGTTTAGTACACGAGTTGAATGTCGATCGTAAAGGGTGAGGCAGTATTGAGCTTCAGAGTTCCGTCCTAGACCACTAATGTGATATGTTTCTAGGTATGCATTCGCCTATGATGACGTGCAGCCTGACGACGGCGAGGATCAAAGTGGAAAGGTCAACGGAGGTGACCCCATCTTCTTCACGGTAACAGTGGGAGGTATACAGGCTGGGGAGCGAGGCGGCGCTACAAATCCAAATTCGAAGAATGGCACGCCATCGCCGTCGATCAGAGAGAGAGAAAGTAGCAGGGACCAGTATGACCGGCCGCCACCACCACCACCTGCCGAAACTTGTCCACAGCCGCAGCATCAGATCTCCGAACAGTCACAAGCTGGGGGGTTGAGAAGCAAAGTGAAGGGATTTGCAAGCAAGATCTTGAAGTGAGGTGGACTGTTATCAATTGGGTCCCCGACTGTAAAGGTGCCAAAGTGTGGTGATTAAGACTTGGCCCAGACTCAGCAATATTGGTCAGCATGACAAACAAATCTCAGCAGTGAGGGCTAAGCGTAAGCCCATAGCCTCTAATACCTCTATAAGTTGGAGGAGCATCATCTACATCTATTAGGCCTCCCAAAACGTGTCGTGTGCTGAGCTACGCGTTGTACCTACCGACAAGGACTTTGCATAAAGACGCTGCTGTGTCAGGTTTGCCACAACACTGACATCTGAGCGCTGCTAACTCTCGCTGATGATGCACACGACGGGCACAGGATAATGTTCAAGGCTGTGCTTCATTAGGTCTGCGTGATGGCATCTACCAATTTGGTCTACCCACGCCGAAATTACTTGCTCTAGAAGTGTCCCCCTCGGAGGTACTGTTACCAAGAGTAACTATAGGACGAGAAGACCTTTCTTGAAGGAGACAATCGCCTTGATATCTTGTCAAAGGATATATTACGAGCAGTTGCTGGGATTGAACATAGAGCTAATGATCGCTCCTCGTACCGTCACCATGTTCAAGTGTGCTAATTTGCTGAGTCAATGTTCTCCCACATCAACATATGGCAGCTCCCTTGGCGCAACCCCTTCCCTCCCAACACATCACTGGCCCTACACAGCTTTCGAACTTACCTAGCCGTTACAAGGTCGCTTTTTGTATTCATGTACGGCGAGACCGTCAATCGTACTATTTCGTCAGACATCATGACCTTCAGTGGGACACAAAGAAAGCATTTAGCTGGCACTGTCTGCCACGCGAATGTTCTCTCCCCCAAATCAAATCCCGGCCCACAGCAGCATCGAGTGTGCTCACATTAACGTCCAGATACCAACCGCGAGGGGCTGCGGTTAGGTGACGATGTATACTATTGATATAGTACCTAGCTATGGATACTATAAAGTTCTCTTCGTAAAAGCTGCTATGGGTGTGTGCAATTCCCATGCCAGTGAACTGATACGTTTCACGAGGCTGGAACTCTGCAACGAGATTTAAGATGGAGCCAAAAAGTGCGAGTCATCCTTAAGAAACAACATATGTAACATATGTGGTCAACTCACACAGATGAGCTTACTGTAATCGTGCACGCAAGGGTACGCGAGTTGGGATAGGCTAGGGAGAGTTCAGCACAACGTAAATGAGCCAAACCGTTCGAAGATGGAGGACGATTCAGCCCTGTAGGAGTATATTTACGCTCAGTGATCCTCAATGCATGGATCAGAGATGATGCTCCGTGCATATCTAGTTTGGCATTGCATGTCCAGAGTGCGAAAGTCACGGCACATATTAGAGGTTGCTATAGGATGCAAGCAAATATTGTCTTGCTTTTGGATTGTCATTCGACAAGTAGAAACTTTCCCTTGCTAGCTTTGTCGCAAGATGCAGAAGTATTTCTGTCTTGCTCATCGCAACAGCTATGTACAAAAATTTGTGAGTGTAGTTCATGATGGCATTGCTCGGTGCCAGCCTGATTGATAATTTTACATTCTGTCGGCATGAGTGCATCGCTTTATAAGCCTGCCTGGATTACAGTGCTACATAACCAATTCCATAGATATCGTCTTCCAGACAAGCAAACAACTAGCTAGGGCTGGGACTGATGGACAAATTGCATCAATGGCACCTTGGCGAAAACTTCACACAGGAACAAGTGCGAGCGCGCAAATGCTCCCAACTCCTCGAGTTTACATGATCGCTAATGAACTGAATCGCGCAGTGTTAGAATAGATTGGTCTTATTGTTTTGCCATGGCGCACCTTTGAAATGCCAATGAGACATGCATCACTTCAATTCGACATATCCTGAGCTCCGGTCGAAGAAGTAGCAAGTTGCCAATTAGTTCCGTGTCGAATTTGGACAAAAACAGGAACCTTAGATAGAAGTGGTTCGCATATGATGTACAGTGCAGTTCTATTTAGACGAAGTCATATGGAAAATTACCGCACAAACCATGACGCAGCCAACTCGAGCGACGGCACATTGTAATAGATTCTGAAATGTACCAAGGCACGCCCCAGAATTCGTAAATTTACAACCAACGCTGGTGATGTCTGCTACTTTTATACACGCGCACCATTTTTTCCAACACCACTCAAAAATGAAGGCGGTCAACAGACGAGCAAAAATGAATTCTAGGGCCTGACCGTGGATCGAACACGGGGCCTCTTGCAGTTAGGACTGTTATGAACCCAAAGCAAGAATCATACCACTAGACCATCAGGCCGATGATGCATATCATCATGATTGAATGATATCAACCTGTAAAGTTCAATATATATTTCTTCTCAATTTTTCTTTGGGGAGCCACGGCATATATCTACATTCCAGCCACTCACATACACGATGACCACAATTGCGAGAAATTGGTCGCCACTTTCCTCTCAAGCGACATCAGTCTTATTCAGTACATCGGCTTGCCTTCAAGTTCAGCCTTCCTACATATTCAACGGCCGTCAGATAGACGTATCCTAGGAACCCACCATGTGTAGTCTACAGCACACGATAGTTGTGATCTGCCTATCTCCGCAATCGCGTGAAGAGTGACGCATGGTTCTTTCCCTTCAGTGGAATCACCCAAATCCCACAGACAGGACAAGGTATGCTATTCACATCAGCGTCGGTAGGTACAGAACACAATAGCAACATACTTAAGTCATGTACAATTATCGTAGTATGATGGTGGCTTTGGCTGCTTCAGGCGTCTCTCTTACAGCAGGCCCAGGCAAAGAAGCTTCACTAGGTGGAGTAAGCGCTGGACCTGACAGTAATAATGCCAAGGCACCCCAGACCATGTAAGTTTGATCTCCGTCAAGTCGAAAGTATATTCATGAGGAACCTGAGCGGTAAACACACCTCTTGAGAATCTATCACACTTCGGCCGCCATGCAGACTACCACCGTTCTTTAATCACATGAGTTTCCTTTATTTCACTTCAACTTCGAGAAGCCTTTTCTGCTTCAGCTAGACTTTGATCAATGACCGATGAGGCATACAGGAGTGAATTTCATCAGGCATATCGAATGCAAGGTTAACGACGATCCTAGAAGCGTTGTCAGCTCATACAATCATGAGCAGATGTCCAAGAGGTATTAATGTGCTACTTAAACTGTTTGACTAAATAGCTGCCAAAGGTGAGATAACATATGAGGTTGGTGACCTTTTCTTGTCCAATGATATACAATTACATTACATCGCATATTTGAAATCTATGGCCCTCTATGATACAACAACACACACAATTGCCTCCAGCAGGACAGCTTATAGGAGAGCTGCAGCAACACCACCGATAATGGGAACGACGAAACCACCGATCATGCTGATGTGAGCAGCGCCGGCCTCGTATGGAGGAGGTACCACCGTGCCAGTCGACGATGGCTTTGGGACGGTGTTGTTGTTGGCCGGCGAATAGGTCGGGCCTGGCCCTGGGTTTGTGCCGTATGGGGCCGGTGTGCTCGTTGGTGGTGGCGGTGGTGGTGAGAGCGGGTGGCTGATAGTGCATGGGCAGTCCAAGACGGTCAGAGTGGTTGCAGAAGTGACGGTGTAAGTCTTGCCGTTGCCTGGAACAACTGTTGTAGGCAGTGGACAGTAGGTTGTGTAGGCTGTGACCACCTCAGTGGTGTATCCAACACCACTAGTTGGGTATGGGTAGGTCCCATTTTGAGCCATGCTGGCGCCTGCAAGGCCGAGTGATAGAGCGAGTGTGGTACGCATATTTGCAAGGTTACTTGAAAGCAAAGACGCTTAAATTTTGGGGAAAAGAAAAAAACAAGGAGATAGTTTTAACGAGTGTTGATATGTAGTTGTTTCTTTAGAAGAGACTTGAGGTGAGGGTAGCATCGCCTTGATATAGCTGGACTTGCTCGCTAACCTGCCAACGGCACTGGAAGCGTTGAGTATGCCGGGACAATCAATAGTGTCCCTGAGAATGTCAACATCGGCTACTGACTGACCTTGCCGTAGAAACATGGGGAAGATTTACCCACGACTTGTTGTTCACGATCGCACAGGAATGTGGCAGCCGATACTAAAGTTGGCTGATAATAGGCTACCCCATGTAGCGTAGAGCTTTGATCCAAATGAACCGCTCTGGAATTCGATCTGTCACAGCGACACCCAATCTAAGATTTATAGTCACATTCTTCCGGTATAAACCTCATCAAACCTGATTCATCTACTTGGCCAATGTTAAGTTCTGGTGGATCCCCGCCAGGTTCCTGCTTTAGTGTGCTCCGTTCCTAATGTCGAGTCTATGCAGTGTAGTATCACCCAGTAGAGTGAGCATCATCCCCGAGAAAAGTCTACACAACAGCGTTCAGCTGACCGAGCTAGATACGAGGAGGAATGATGTTGTGTTTCCTGGAACCTCAGAAAGAGGTTGCAGAGAGGCCAGTCAAACGAGCAAGAGGGTTAGGGTTACACACGACTTCGCCATCTTCGGGCCGGCAAATAATTGATATGTGACTGTTGAAGTACACATGAAATACTTTAACTGTATCAAGCCAACAACAGAAAATGCTTTGTGGTCTGTTTACTAAACCTTCAATCCTGCGATGCTTGCCCTTATCGTTGGTGATTATTGATGGAAGTTGTATACCAAGGCTCATATTTGCCCCAAAGCCACTAGCCCCAATCAAAAATTGCACGTATGATTGGGAATCCGACTTCAATACTCAAGGAAGAATGGTTTCTCTACCTAAAAACTGAGAGCTGGAACTGGTGAGATCTACTGGATGATTCTCGAAGGTTCTTCGGTCGCAGAGCTCCATAAATCTATACACGTAGAGAAACCGGGAGGTGATAATGTTCTTGCAAATTGCCTGATGTGCCAGGATAGTATATGAGCTGCCTAACATACTCTCAAGAATATCAGCATGGATCTCTCGTATCTCAAATAAACCAGCGAAATTGGCGTCTGGATTGTGTCTATTTTGTGAGACATGTACCCGACCATTGTACTATGTCGTTACCGTGAACTTCTGCTAATTCGAGATCATCAAAGTTAGCAACGAAGCCAATGCAAGGCAGGGCTACTACAACTTCCAGATTTGAGAACTTAGCGACTATAGTCTGGATGTGCTGCTCTTGGGTTGGAGGAACATCTCTGCATGCTATTACACATTCACTTGCATACCAACCGACTGGCAATGGGGGAGCAGGAATACGACCCAATAGCGAGCGGACGGCTATCGGAGACTCGAATCAATGACGCGCCGACGAACGAATCGCAGCCCGCGTTCGTTTCCGTCTCGATTTGTAAGGCGATAGCTCTTTCATGCCTGTACGGAGTATTGATAACGCTATCGATGCCTGTATTGGTATCATACATGCGTAGGTGCCAGGTAGGATGATAGTGCTTCATACTCGTTAATATCACTCCAAATCAGCCCCAGTAGTTCCAACAGCTCCGAACATACACCTTACAGTACCTAAGGAGCCATGTCTTCAATGCAGGACATCCGCGCATTCTTCGCCCGCTCACAGCAAGCTACAGCACCAACGCCCTTGCGAAGCGAGGAACATCAGCAGTTTCAGGCAACACCTGTCACCGAACATGTGACAACATCAACAATAACTCTCCCCAAACCGAAAGACTTCAGCCACTATCTCTCCCGTTCGACGAAATCTAGACAAGCCTCGTCTGTCAAACAGTTCTACAAGTACTTTCAAATCCCAGGTATCGGACAGCTCGCTGGCGGGTTGCCAAACGAATACTACTTCCCATTCGACACACTCGAGGCCAAAGTCGCCTTGCCCAGCAGGTGGAAAGGCACCCCTAACCGACCTGTTGACCCACCAGCAGATGATGAGGAAGCCAGAAAGGCGCTCGGCGATCTGTCACTCGTTGATGCCAGCGGCAGTCCATTGAACCAACCACAGTCCTCGCTCACCGTCCCACACGCAAGTTCGCAGCAGAACCCGCTGAAGAAGATTGATCTTGCCACTGCACTGCAGTATGGTACAGCGCAAGGCTATCCTCCACTTTACTACTTTCTCAGACAGTTGACGAGAGATCATCTGCATCCGAATTGCCCATACGAAGGTGGGCCAGACATCATCTTGACTTGTGGCAACACGGATGGGTTTAGCAAGGTGCTACAGTGTCTCAGCAATGAGTGGACTGAAGAGAAGGATTGGATCAGGGATAGAGAGGGTCTGCTATGTGAAGAATTCTGCTACATGAATGCGGTCCAGACGGCGAAACCCAGAGGGTTGAACATCGTTCCTGTTGCAATTGATGACGAAGGCATGATTGCAGAAGGCCCAGGCGGTTTGAAAGACGTGCTGGAGAACTGGGACGAATCCAAGGGCAAGAGACCACATCTCATGTACACCGTAACGTAAGTGCAACTTTCTTACCAAACCCACTGAGACATGGATACTAACAGCAGTGCATTGCAGCATGGGACAGAACCCAACCTCAGGCGTCCTCTCCCTCCATCGCCGCCGCGAGCTCTATGCCGTCTGTAGCAAGTACGACATCATCATTGTCGAGGACGACCCTTACTGGTACCTGCAATTCCCCACCGCCACATCGGTGAACACAACCACAACCTCTGCCACGCACCCTGGCTCTAGCAACTCCTTCGACCCAGATATCTCACTCTTGGCCAACGGCGAGCCTCGCCCCGCCAATTGGAAGTCCTCAGGCTACGCCTTTCTCGACAGTCTCGTACCGTCCTCTGTCTCCATCGACACCGAAGGCCGCGTCATCCGCCTTGACACATTCAGCAAGACCGTCGCGCCAGGCTGCAGGCTGGGCTGGATCACAGCTCAGCCTGCACTCTGCGAACGTCTACTTCGAATTTCAGAGACGAGCACGCAGCAGCCTAGCGGGTTCGTACAGAGCATCGTCGCCGAGCTGCTTCTCGGCCCTGACCACAATGGCATATCAGCACAGCAACAACACCAACAGCAGAAAGGCCTAAGCAGCAGCAAAGCCGGCAAGGGTGGCGACGGCCCCTTGCCCACAGGCGACGGCTGGAAGGCGGACGGCTGGGTTCGCTGGCTCGAGGGCCTGCGTGGCAACTACGAGCGCCGCATGAACAGCATGTGCCGCATCCTGGACGCAGGCCAGTATCTCGTCAAGACTGGCCGTCGCGAATCCCTCTCAAAGGGCTCTGACAGCGACGACTGGGCCGTTGTGGAGAAGACGCAGATCTACTCCTTCACCTGGCCCGTCGGCGGCATGTTCATCTGGCTTCGCCTGAAATATTCCTCCCACCC